CCAGGGGCAGTGCTTGGCACGCTGGGGAGCAGAGCAGGAAAGGCTTGTGCCTTGAGTAGGAATTGTCTGTTCGGAGTCTCCTGCTGCCCCTGTGAAAATCTGTAGAGCATGAGGCATTGACGTAGGGTTGATACTCTGCGACCCTGCAGATTATTATACTTGCATGGACTGTGATCTAGCTTGCAGCAGGTCGTGCCGATCAGTGTTGGAGGAAAAGCGTGGGGTTTATGTGTGTGCATCCTTACTTTGGCTGGGGGAATAGAAGAGGCAGATCTGCCTAAGCCTATCGGGTTTCCACAGCTGTATCCTCTCATCTTTTTCTGTCAGCATATCTACATGAACAGACTATGAGGACTTTGGCTGTTTGCTGGGGGTTTCCATGGGTCTGACAGCAGAAGCTCGGACTGGATTGCTAGATAGTAGAGATACTGAATGTGCTAATTGTGTGTATGCAAATTAACTCTGTCCTGCAGGCTTCCTGGATTTAAAACTCCACAGCCATGTTCCAGCTGAAAGCCCCTCCCCAGTGCCAACAGCTCTCGGAAAATACTCTCTACTACTGCCAGGGTTCTCTTCCCCTGCCAAGGGGTCCAGGTGCCCCTTGCAGCCTTGTGCACTGTGAATCGTGCACAGCATAAGGTCAGCATGAGGCTCACACTACCCCTCAGGATCTGCAACCGCTATGTCTGTTTTCCCACAGAAAAATCGTAAGTGAGAGCAGCTATCCTGTCCACAAAGAGCAAACTCAGTGGCAATGCCCTGAGACTGTCAGCTTCTCTCCACCCCACCTGTTGAGAGATGAAACAGTGAAGAGGGAGGTGTTACGTGAAACTGTTGACTGCATATACTCACAGCTTAATGCAAGCTAGGAATTTCACGTGAGAGGCTTTCCAGAATGCCCATAAAATCTCCAGAAATTTAGTAATGCAACAATTTTTCAGTACCTTCTTCACTGGATGCCAGAAAACCAGAGCAAAATAACAACTAGCAGGCACAAGACGTTCTTAAGAGCATCCTTACATGCTTTGCTTAGAGCTATCAGTGGGAATTTAAGCACCTTATGTAATGGGCTTTCTCTTTTAGCATCTGCTGCTTCATGGGAGGATGATTGGTGAGGGAATGTATTGATTTAAGAGGAGGCATTTGGGGCCTTGACAACTGTCCGGCTTTATAGGAAAAGCCATGTCTACTAGGTTGAGGAGCAGGTCAGACTGATTTTGCAGAGTGCTAGCAGCAGCATTAGCTCCATAGGCTTATCTGCAGGGAGGAATCTTTACCAAAAATAACCCATCCGCTGTGTTAGATACCAGCATTTTTGCCATGTTTCAGGGATTTAAGTTGGACACCAGACAAGATTAAAGACCTTCTTACACTATTCTGAACTCTTCACTCTGACTAATTGAGACTAACCTTTGGTTGGCTTCTTGGATACACTGTGGTTTACTTTTCTCTCTTTTGAAACATGTACCATGAAGTGCACAGTCTGTATGTCTGATGAGCAGGAGGGCTCTGTAGAAAAGTCCTTTTACCTGTTAGAGAGAGGAATAATTTCCTGGTTTGGGCTTTTTAGCTGAATGCTTCTACTGAACACCGTGTGGCAAAAAAGGCTTTAGATTTTGCTGGCAGTTTTGAGGTGCTGAAAGATTGAAAGCTCCTGTTCTTTTTTTAAGTGACCTTATTATTAGAGTAGTACCTGAATATCTTACAGCTTCCCCTGTTGTTTTGTAGTCAAGGCAAGGTGTAATCAGGGAGATGGTACTTAGTTTGGCCCTAATGTGAGCCTTTAAGCTGCATTTTTTTAAAGCCATAGCACCCACGAAGAAGCAGGTAGAGAGGTCTGCTGGACCTATATTTCTCACCCTCACTGCTGAAGATTGGGAGTAACCCCTTTGCAAGGTCCCAAGAATTGCACTGCAAGTGCTGAGGGGGCTGGAGCCCACCACATGCTCCTCCGAGATGGACACTGTCAGAGTGCTTCGCAGGGGACATTCCTTTCCCCTGACTCAACAGCTGAGCCAGAGCATCAGCAGCAACTGGACCTGTTTTAAGAGCCATCTTGAACTACTGACCGTCATCTTTACCACGTTGGCTGGGGGGCTAACACAGCGCTAAATCATAACAGGCCAACCTTACAGGGATCAGGTTGACCAGTTTTATATTAAGCCACCCCATATGTGCAGCACATGAGTGGCTGTTTAAAGAAAGCTTCTTACTTCCCCTCCCTCCCTCCGCTTTTAAGGCTTATTTCTTTTGTCGCGTGTCACGGGGGCTGGCAGCAGGTTCAGAAAGTCTGAGCTCTCCCAGCTCAAGGTCATTGGGATTGTTTAAATATTATCTCCTTTTCTGTACTTACACTTTCCTACAACTTGATATTCTGTCTTTCTAAAATTAAACTCCTGAGCAAAAGAGTAGATGGGAGTTCACGTGCAGGCCCAGGAAGGGGGCAAGCTAGCAGCAAGCCGGACCCTTTTGTCAGGGTGTGTGTCTGTGTGAGATCATGCCGAGGTGCAGAGCAAAGTTCGCAGTGAGGAGCTGAGGCTGCCCTTTGCTACTCAGTTGTGCCTTGTGTGGACCATTACGGCTTTTCATGGCAAGCCACACATCGAGTTGTAGAGCAGAGACTATCTTAAAGAAGTGAAACCAGTCAGCTTAGGGGTGACCAAGCCCTCCATAGTGATTGTGTCCTGCAAATGAATGAGACAAAGGAAAAAATGCCCCAACACTTCTTCTAAAAAGCTCATTAGTTTGGAATGTCTTATAATTTTTTAAAAAATAGTTTCAAAGTTTTTCATTTAAAGGCCCAGGCCATTTAAAGCCTGGGCTATGGAACTGGCTGTGGTGGAAAAGCTTTGCTTTCCTGAGGAAAGCTTAGTGTCTTCCGCTTTACTGATTGACTTACTAATAGTTCTAATAAGTTACTGGTTACGTTTGTGTCATGCGAAGGGTAGGGAAATGAGGTGATACTGGGTAATGTGACTTGGTAGCTTATACTGGGATCTGGAATGACGCTGTTGCTTAAAACAGTGTCTACGTAATCTAGGTTGTTTTCTTAGTGGGGAGTGGTGGGGGTGAGGAAATGTTTCAAGATAATTCAAGAATGACATCACTGTAATCCTGCTTACTCTAAGACCATGTAAAAGCATGAAATGGGATAAATGTTTTTGTAAGAGACGTTGGCTTTCCCTTATGCTTAATGGGGAAGCGTTACCTTCCATGCTCCAGAGCACGGGGGCACCCATGGTGGTGTAGAAAACTTTCCTTACATTAAAACTCCCCCCATGGCTGTTTGCCCCCAGTCAGTGTCCCTTTTAGAGCTGCTTGCCTCAGCTGTGAGGCTGCCTGCCGTCCTGCATCGCAGAACCACCCTTGTGATACTGCTGAAAAAAGATGCTTCTGTGAGCCGCCCATCTACGTGCAGGGGAGAGGAATTCAGGGGGTGCTGGGGAAATAACTAACTATAGGAAAGATTTGGTTTAATTCTGTTGTTACCAGCCCGCTCTGTGCGAGCAAACCTGTACTGGCTTTGTGCTGGAATATTTGAGTTGTGGAAACCGATTCCAGTTTCAGCTTGGATGATCTGAACCCCTGGGGTTTTTTTGTCCTTTGGAGTATAGTATCAGGTTAGGAATCCCAGGAGGGCAGATTTTGCACTGTGTTTTCCCTGGAGTCTTTGTGCTTCCTGCATTTTATCCAAGTGGAAGTCATTCCAGAAAAAGCTTTTTGGGGCAGTCTTACTCCTGATTCTTGGTGGTGCAGGTGTGCAGAGAAATGAATAATAATACCCAGCGTCAGCTGGGGTATCTGTGCTTTTGTTATTCTGCTAATATTAATTATAGAAAACCAAGAAAGTATACCCAAACTTCATTGAGCTTTGGCTCTGCTGTGGATCTACTTTGTGCTTACTGCTCATTTAAACTCTTGGCCTCTCCTTGAGTCAGCTGTGCTTTCTGTTTCATCCGCTTCAGGGCATGTGACAGAAGATGCAGGATGCATTTCTTAGACTTCTGCCATTTCTTAATTTATTATTTTCCTTTACTCCATGCAACAGCTACTAAAAGTGGAAACTATGTAATTACTCTTTGTGTTACCACCTACAAAGCTCCAAAGGTTGAGGCTGTTTCTAGCACTGTCACAGTTAAAAGTCATGCATCAGGTCTCAAAAGCATGAGTCTGGATGATTGTTAAAGGACATTCGACAACATTCAAATTTGATTTATAGTTGGAAGTGGGGTTTAACAATCTAGAGGATTTCAAGCTTTTTGTTTCCAAACAGTGAGACACACTTTTGAGTGTCCCCTTCAAATAAAAGTTGAAAATACAACATGAATCCAGGAGTTGAAACTTCAGGAAAGAGGCCAAATATTGTGAAATTTGTGATCTCATTGTGACAGTAGGCAGTGGTGAGGTTTGTTTAGGCAAAACTTTCAGGGAAATTCCTGGGTATCTGGGCTAAGTATCCTGGTTTTGTTTATTAACCACAATTGCTGCAGACTTACACTGGAAACATTTGAATGTGAGAGGCAACACAGCTCACTGTTTTTACTTTTCACTTCCCTACTGAAAAGCCAAACATCTTTATCTGACATTTTTTCAGGTTTTAGGCCTGTTTTGTTTCTGACTGCTATTTTTAATGACAAAGCTTTCATTAGTAGCTTTTCAAAAATACTGAGTGAAAACTTTCCACAAGGGGAGAAGAATATTTGAGTCACCTCTAATCCTAACTTAAATACTGGAGAACAACCATAACATCCTAGTGATACAGAGCACACTCGAGCATACGCTTTATTTCTCATTGTGTAGGGAGGAGAGAGGAGCACTGCTGAGATCTGCCGCATGTCATTACTGACCCAGTGATCTTTGAAAGAGATATGCTTACCAAAATGAGGAAATTATGAGTCAGACCAGGCAGTGAGACTACTTAAAATACATCAGAATAACAAATGACAGTCTTATTTATATATACATTAAAAAAATATGTATCATCTTTTTTTTTTCTGCAGAGAATACCAGAGGAGCTAACCTTAGATGCCTTACTAGAAATGAATGAGTCAAAGGTGAAAGAAACAATGAAGAGATGTGGTGCCAGAGATGAGGAGTGCTCCAGACTCAATGGGGCACTGAGCTGCTTACGGAAGGTGACTGAATCAGGTACAGACTGCCTTGTTCTGTGGAATTAGTTTCTCCGCAATGTGGCCCTCATCCTGCTTCCTTTCATATGAGACAATGCAAAAACCTCTAGAGAATGTCTTTGGGTATATTCTATAATCAGTATCAGGCTGTGGCTCTTGGATGTATGTGAAGTTGCAGTGATCAAACACATCTAGAGCTGTGGATTGGATTTGGTTTTGATAGCCTGACAAATAAATAAATAAATAGAAATGTATGTAGAAATATCCTCTCCTACTTAATAGTATATTCTTATTCCCTCTCTGTTCAGAGTTGTGTCTAATGCTGCAATTAATCCTCTATCATTCAGTACACATATCCTTGACCTAATGAATACAACCAGATTGCTTGTAGGTAATCCCCTCCCCAGATATTGCCAGCTCAGAGAGAAGAAGGTGTAATTCTGTTTGGCATTACTTTGCTCAGAAGCCTGAGTATTGTTCAGCTCAATGCTTTGGAAGAGGAAGACATTGCTGTGACAACCGTTTATCACTGTGTAGCTTGTAGTGTGCCAACTGATCCACTTCTCTTCTAAAACCGCTTGCCTCCTGCTATCTTACTTTGCTAGCATTGACAGAATCATTAGGCAAATTCCAATACCAGATTCAAGAGCTAGAAGGAATCCTGATTTACCTTGAAATTTTGGAAGGAACGGTACTGTGTAATTAGAAATGCATGTGTTCAGCATGCAAATGGATCTCACCAAGGTATTTAAGATCAGTCGAACTCAAGATTCCCAGAGCACTGTTTCACCGTCTTCCCCTGTCACCTTCCCCAGGCTGCTTTCAAAGGCATTGTAAAATCTGTTTGTATGAGAGTGTTTCTCTCAGCATACTGGTACTAACGTGCATCAGATCTTTCTTTATAGCAATCATCAATCTGTCACTGAAAAGTGATGTTTCCTGTTGGTATTATGACAGTTCATACCATTCACAAATCATAAAGATAAGTTAATGGAAAAGTCAGCAAACAGCTCAGTTTCATATTTCCTTTTTTCTAATCTTTCTTGTCCTGGGCTGTCAAATATTTTCCATCCATACTGTGGCAAAGCCAGCCATTGTTCAGAAGTCATGACATTCACTTATTATAAAGAAATTACATTTCAAAAAATCCAGGTATGTCATCTCTTCTCAACCACCGTCTGGTCAATAGGACATCAGGGCCTGAAGCTTTGACTTTTCACCTTGATTTAAGTCATTAAGGACATACTTAAAATTAAGCTACAGAGTTATCCTGATGAATTAAACCTCTGAAATTATCCCAATGCCTTCCTGCTTTGCTGCCTGCGGGCCTTTGTACTTTTTTTTCCCCATTTGTACAACCTGTAGACCAATTCTGTGTATTAGACCATTCTGAACTACAGTGCTAGGCACTGTAGAAGGCAGTGCTGGGCTCCACCAGCGATCCAGCAGGCTGTGGTGGTTCCTTTTTGTCCAGCTGTCTGTCCCTTGTGCAGCTCTATCCAATAGAGCCTGAACAAACACAGCAACTCTGTGCTGAGTGCTGCTGCTGCCTGTAATTGAACAGCAGTGCCCCAGTACTCCAGGTGTCAGGTGAGTTCTAGGCACTGGTTACATGCCAGAGAGGAAGGTGGCCAAATGACTATCAGGACCTCGTAGATACCCCTTATTTCCAATTTAATGGCCTTTCTCACTTTTAAGAGGTATTTAGCAGTTCTCTTGGCTAATAGAAAATAGTTTCCTCTTTTTACCAAAGACCAGTCTAAAAACAGACAGGTTGTCAGGTTGGATGTACAGATTTTCTCAACAGACTGGCACCAAATACACATAGGCTTGCACAGGGATGTGGGTGCCTGTTTTATTGAGGTATGTATATCCCGCGTTCTTCAGCGGGGCCCAATCTGTTAAAACTCAGCCCATCTTAGAACATAGGACCTGATTTTAGCTTTTGAGATACATAGCTACAGATAGGAAAGAAGGGTAGTTACTGCCATTCTCATGTTAAAGGTTACTTTAGTTGATGTCTTAGATGGGTGTCAGGGGAGGAGACACTAGGCTTGCACCTTGCCTAAAGCAGCATGATGTGGTACATGTATATATAGTGGCTTTTTTAATCAATCACTAACACAGCTACGGTTGGTCAACAGGCGGGGAGTTAAAAGATGATGTGCTGATGAATCTTTCTGAGGCACGCCGAGAAAACAGCTCTCCAAACACGACCGAATTCCCTTGCTCCTCTGTGCCCTCATGGACTCCCTCTGCACTGCACCTTCCCAAGGGCAACAGCCAGCAGGCACGTTCTGTGTCAGTATCTACAATCCCATCTTCTGATTGTGGACCTATCTATGCAGAAAACCTCCTGGACCCTTTTGCGTTCCCTGCACACAGTGGAAGGTTAACACCAAGGACTCCTCATAGCATCACCATCACTCCACCAACCACTCCTCAAGCCAAGAGACGGCATAAGTTGAAGCCACCACGGACTCCTCCTCCCCCTTGCCGGAAGGTTTTTCAGCTGCTACCTAACTTTCCAACCCTCACAAGGAGCAAGTCCCACGAATCACAGTTGGGAAACAGGATAGATGAAGTTCCTCCAATAAAGTAAGCGTGACATTTCCTCCTGTGCCACAGCCACTGGTGGGCTGTGTTCATACCAAAGGGCATTCAGTGCTCCAGTTCTGATTCTGTGTAAAAGAGCTGATGTCCAGTTGCCTGGTCATGGTTTCACTGTAGTCTGAGAATCTGTATCTGTGGGATATTCTAAGAAAACCACAAAACCTGCTTGTTAATAGTGTACTTTTTTGAAATTAATTTGAATGTATTTGAAATCACACCTGCTGTGGAGGTTGGAATGGCTGCTGCTATTAAAGGGCCCCAACCAGTTTTTCTCAAGCATCTAGTAGCCAGTTCCACATACTATAATTTTCTTCTGTCCTTAAGTGTTCCTTACAGTTCAGGTGGCTGGTATCCTTTTATGTTTTTATCTTATATTTTAGCTGCTAAATATATTTTATTGTTTAGTATTTTAGCTGTTAGTGGGAGCTTTAAAATACATGTATTAGAGTATAGACAACTATAGCTCCATAACAAGACAAATGGTCTTAGGCTGTACCTTTTTTTGGACTGATGCAGGCTTTGACATATGCTTTTTTTGGGTAGATGAGACAAAAGGCATTAATCTAACATTTAACTAATAGCTGACACTAGGAAAGAAATGTGCATTCCAGAGACCCTGCCTATCCCTAAACATTGCAGAAACTTAGATGAGCATCCAAATTCTGCAGAAGGCACTGGACCATTACAACTTACCTAACCTGGAATAGTTTGAAGAGCCTGTTACACTTGTGACCTTTTTGCCAAAACTACATTTTTTCTATAAGGAAAACTAGCCCAGCTCGGAATGGAGTTGAGCTTTTTGGATGTGAGCATTAACACCAAAGGGCTGTGCTTCTGATGCTGCAGTACTGTATTGCCTGCTGATTGACATGAAAGAGCTCATTAGAAATGTGTGGCTTTGTAAGCAGTACAGTATGCTTCCACACTGTGAGTGCATATGAAGTATATACTAAAACCTGACGATTGCTAAGCCTCTAAATGCAGCACAGTAAGCATCTGTGGCCCATGTACAGCTTTGTTTTGAAATTCAGCGGTAAGAACCTGGTTCTGCTGTGATCCAGGTCCTATTGATTAAGTCTGATAGGAAGTGCAAAATGGAGCATTTCTGTGATTCAGGCACTTCCTCAGAGCCTGCCAGCTGAGTTGCGCAGCCCCATTTATGGCTTCTCATCTGCAAGCCAAAATTCAGGTGCGCTCTTGTACGCTTCACTTTCAGGCTGGAGCTCTGCGCAGCAAAGACATTTGTAAGCAGGAAAATATTGGCTATGCAGCAACTTCAGGAGACTGTGCAAAACCAGAGATATTTGTAAACCTGACATCAGATGCTGCAGGAAGGAGTTTCTGTTCTAGCAAAGTGTGTATCCTGTCACATGAATAAGAATGTCTAAAAATAAACAATTTTTTTCTCTCTCTCTAGGTTCGGTAAGAGATTTTTACAGGGCCATCTTCATTTCAATCCTGAGAGAGAAGAACGTGTCCTTGACAAGTATCTGTTGATCATCCCTGTGCAGCCTCTGGAGGTCCTCAACAGGGCCTTCTATTCCAGAGTTTCTGTTAACTTTAACAGGAGCTTGGCCTACTGAAGAAGGATGTTTACATGTTTTTTTTGTACTTGGTATTTCTTCAGATGACAAAAGCAAAGGAAATGAATACTGATGTTTAAAGGGTTAAAGCAAAGGGTTTGGGTGTAATTGCTTGTCTGTGACTTCAGACAGCTGTTATTGGTGCCTCTTGATACTGGAAATAACCTCGTATGTAACCATTTAGTTTACCATCTTTGGATATTCATTGCCAAATGTCTCTGTAATGAAATTAGGCAATTGCAACAACCTTCTGAGAAACACTTCAGCATGTGCTTAAGTGTGGGATGTTTGATTCCCCTGATGTTGATGGGTCTATTCACATGTTTAATGGCTTACAGGACTTGGACTTATGTTTTTATCCAGGGATGTATCAATGCCATTTAGTGTTTTAGCTATCCTGATGTAACTATGTGCATCTGTCTCAGACACAACCTGTAACCTTCGAAGCTAATGTGGAGACATACAGGCATCTTGGAAAGTGTCTCAATTTTTTATAAAGTATAAAAGTCCAAATAAGGATGTTATAGCACCACACATATATCTAATGCCCTTTAAAACAAAAATCCCAGAAATTACTTTCAGAAATGAAAAAGTATAGAAAGAAAGTTGTAAAATGAAAATGTAAGCAGAAATCTGAGCATTTCTCTGTGGATAGTGATAGAATTTATGCAATAAAAAAGGCATTAAAATAAATTCAAACAGAAATTAAGAATTTTGGTACTTCTATGCATATAGTCATATTGTATATTTTAAAATCTATACTGTAGGCACTTTTAAGTCCCATTCAATTCCAAACTTTGTTACATTCACTAGGACCCTTCAGTAAGGATTTAGCCATCCTAACTGATGTTAACAGCCATCTTAACTGTTGTATTATGATTAATTCAGTTGACTGTGCATTTGGATGGCCACACTAGGTCAGCAACATGCCTTGGAAAAGCAACTAGTCATTCCAGTCTATTCTAAGATGCTGAAGACCACAGATGCCTTTAAAAGTTCACTGGAATAATGATAAAAAAGAATCTGGTGCCATCTAGGGTCAAACAAAGAGACCATCTTTTTGTAAGCATTGACAGTGTCTAGCTTTGAAGCTGTGTTGATACTTGCAGATTTGAGTTTTCTCCAGATTTGCAATATGGCTATAGATTTAATTCAGGAAAAAAAAGCCTTCTTTTTATTAAAGAAGGAAGAATTATGATTCTACCACCATTTCCTCCATATGAAAACAAATAGAAGAGTAGTATCTGGTAGCTTTACAGCAGAAGACAAACCAATCTCAGCTGTGCTGCTAACAGTGTCATGGCTACCAGGCCTTATCTATGACAGTGATTGCTTTGTTTCTGTCTAGACTGGTAAGCATGCTTGTGAGTAATGCTTCCCTAAAACATCCTTTTGTTCTCTATCAGAACTCTCCCAAGGATCCCCTCAAACGGTACGAAGAGACTTTGGCTTAGCTGTAACACACAGGTAAGCAAGACATGTGGTGGGAGCCACAAAGGAAACAAACCAAGAGGTCAGACTGGGACAGCATCCTATCTCGTGTGTTTGTAGCAGCGACAACTCTAAGATAGGCTTGAAGTTGGGTCAGGTGCCTCATTTGCCAAGTTCAGCCTCAGCTATGTATTTCAGCTTCACTGCTTTTTAATACGTCACTGACGTGTCCAGCACTTGAAATCTTTTTTACAAAGCCAATTGACTCATGATTCCATAATGACTAGCATACCAGGGGTAGCAATGTTGTATATGGGGTGACAGGACCAAGCATGCCAAGTGTGTAACAACGCCTTTTCCGAAGGGAAGCTGCTCCTTCCTTCCTACATGGAAAGGGCATATATTTCCCTTTTCTTCCTTGTAGCTTCCTGCATCCCCCCTTTCTAAATCCAAACCAAAACTGGACTAGCAAGTTCTAATGCCAAACCTATCTGCTTAAGTTTCTGGTAAAAGGGATAACGTTCCCACCACCACCCACCCGCCATAAATTGAGTCCCAGTTCTACAAAGATGTTCAGGTGAATAGAGCCAGCAGCACATGAACGTCCTGCTGAGCTGAGGAGGGACACCAGCCACTGATGGGTAGCACGTGAGCATGTGCTGCCTCTGCACTTGGAGTGTGTGCTAGCTGCACACTCTCAAGAGTACTTGCTTGTTTCATGAGGTGAAGCTCAATTCCAGTTTGAGGGGTTTTTTATGAAAAGAAGTAATACTCTATCACTTGGATATCTTTGCATGAGGCTTCAGGTGTGTAATTGCTGAGCTGCAGCTTTGAGGACCTTCTAGAGATGTGTGTACATGCACACCCTGTCTCCTTGTCAGACGCCTCTGAACACCTCTCAGCCCTGTTCCAAGAGTGGAGAACTAGCAAGAGCCCAGCAGAGTTGGTGCCATCCTTCTTTCAGTTGCTTTTGATCAGAAAAGTGATAAGTCTTTTCTGCAGCACCACTTGCCCTTTTCAGAAAGGACTGAGTATAGCCTGTCTGTAACTACCTAAAAATGTTATTTTTGCTTTAGACACCAGTTAACATCATTTTTCCCCTCTTGTCTCCACTTAGGTTCTCTACAAAGTCTTGGTTATCTCAGATTTGCCAAGTCTGTCAGAAAAGCATGATGTTCGGGGTGAAGTGTAAGTACTGCAGGTGAGTACACAGTGATGATTTTTTCAGAAGAACTTTCTATTTGATTCATTAAAGTTTGCCAGTGACAAGTATCTCTTGGTGTGATGCACTCTTAACAGTGGCATCATTTTTTCAGTCAGCTTCTGAACTGGCAAAGGAATGCTTTGGCACAACTTCTACTTAGGTTGTATGAACCCAATTTATTTCCCTGCCACAGGCTTCCTACCTGATCATGGGCAAATCTTGTGGTGGGAGCTGGATACCTAAATAACAGCAAGGATTTTAGTTCTTGCTTCTCCATCTGGATTGTTAGTCCACTCAGATTTTAGTGCTTCACTGTCGCAGGATGAGAGTCAGTGAAAGTAACTATATTAAAAGTAAATCAGATGCTAAGATATGTATATGGCTTTCATTAGCCTAATGACACACATAATAGGATTCTTCATATGCATGCATGCTGCTCTGGGGCCTGCAGCATTCCAGAACTCCCTCTGAGATTAGCATAAGAATTACAAATTAAGGGTAGGCTTCCTCTTTTTGAGAAGGAACAAGTTGTTATTTAACATGTAATGTTTCTCTTTCAGATTAAAATGTCACAACAAATGTACTAAAGAGGCACCTGCTTGTAGAATATCCTTTCTTCCCAGTAAGTAATTTTCTACAAGTTCGTAGCATTTCAATGCAATGATGGCATCACAAGAATAAAAAGTCTGATTAAAGCTTTTTTCTCCCTTCTGCAACTTGTTTTTCAGTAACAAAAATAAGAAGAACAGAGTCTGTCCCTTCTGATATCAATAATCCAGTAGACAGACCAACAGAACCACAATTTGGAACTCTTCCCAAAGCACTAACTAAAAAGGTACATGGTGACTGAAGTGAGTCTTGTGTCTGTAAGTCACCGAGGAGCTACAATAAGGAGAGGTGGCAGCAGTACCTTGCTGGTTGGAGCAAGAATGGCACTTTGAGCTTTCGCTTTGCAAGGAGACTTTGGTATGTGACATTTTCTCCTTGTAAAACATAGGTCGTGCACAGCTCCAGCTGCCTACTCATTTAGAAAAACTATGCTGTGATCGAGGCTAGGGACAGCTTTCCTTTCTCTGTTGTTCAATAAACATTGAGGGGAATTCTTTCTTCCTTTTTATTGTTTTCTCATGAGTGACTTTCCTTCCTGTGCAGGAGCATCCACCAGCAATAAATCATCTGGACTCAAGCAGTAATCCTTCTTCTACAACCTCATCCACACCATCTTCTCCGGCACCTTTCCAGTCTTCCAACCCTCCCAGTGCAACACCTCCTCCAAACCCATCTCCTATGGGTCAGAGGGATGGACGATTTAATTTCCCAGGTAAATCTTACCTTTTTCAGGAGACCTCTGCCAAGATCAGAAAGGCCTCTATGCAAGCAGAGGCTGACCAAGACTTCGTAGTTGGTTGCAGGTTTCTGAATACATCGTTGTGTCTTAAGCAAGGCATGAATTTATATCTTGTTACCTGATAAAAGAAAATGGTCTGTTCTTAAAAGTTTTTAAGTGGTATTGGCAAGACAACTTTGCAGGAGACAGATTATTAAGGAGTGCTGGCACCCTTCTTAAATGATTTGATTTTTCTATTTTCCCCTTTTTTGAAAAGGACTAAAAAAAAATTTTCTCCTCCCTTTTCTCACTGTATTGTAAAATGCATCCTCTCTGCCGTGTTCGGTCACCAGTGGCTTTAAGTCATGAGTAAGTTGATTGCTAGAGCAAAACATGAAACTGAGAACTGGGATGAATTACTTCACCAGTCCCTTCCAAAAGGTAACCAACAGTCAACACTCATTTTTAAATCATTGACATACATGTATGGTGGAGAAGAATTTACCCCACATACTTTAAGGACCCCAATGTGCGGTCTTTACCGAAGTCGATACAGGCAAGGATGTCTGACAAGGGAAAAGATTTATGTAGTGAGAATAAATTTAATTCCTTTGATCTGGAAATGAAGTCATCTGCTGCTCACTAGCTGCTACATCTAGCCTTCAACACAGCTATATTTTGCATCAAGCTTTTAATCTGTGAGTGAAAGTTGCTATTTTAGCCTACTTAACAGGAGCAGAAGCAGAGCCAGTTTAGTACAAAGATTCTACTGCAACTACTTTGTATTAGGACATACTGCTCAAATGAACTGAAGTAAAAGAAATGCTTGCAGATGGCTCATGAACTTCAGCTTCTCTGGGTGCATCTCTGAAAAGCTGAAGACAGGAAGAGAGCATTTAAGCACCAGCTTTTACCTGGGCCTGCCTTTTAGTATTCCCCGGTTCTCTAAATATGCTTCTGCCACTTGAAGTCTGAATGTGTTGTTTTCCCACCGGACTGTTTGCTTATTGGTAACATAGCTTTCGTTTGAGAAGTATCATCTGTCACAGTCGTCCATAAATGCATGTGCTGAAATTCACCCCTCAGGCTGATAATCTACTAATCTGTTTCTCAACAGTAAGTTGGGACTAATTCATTGAATGCATATGGGGCACTTACTGATGATCTTCTAACTTGTTTGTGTTGTTTTTTTTTTCTCCTGGTAATTTTTTTTGCTGTCCTTTTTAAAAAAAAAAAAAACCCAATTAAAAAAAAGCTGCCTACTACATTCAGCATAGACAACAATTTATCTTCCCAGGTGAGTTGATTGTTTTAATTCTACTAACCAGCTTCTGCTGCCAAAAAGTAAATTGTTTGTAAACTTCTGCATGCTGCCCAAGAACAATAATTCTGCTTTAAAAAAAAAAAAAAGTATCTAAAACAATTCAAACTTGCTCTTATCCCAGTATATAATTCAGGCCTCTGTCTCCTAATATGAGGTAGTGATGTTATTTATATACTACAGTGAAACTTTGAATATTCAGTTGTAAAACAGTAGCTTTCTGCTGTGGGATTTATACACAGCCATGTTCTTTCTTTAAAAAGGCTCGCTTTTAGGGTTATATACTTAGCTAGTATAAATGGACACTGTCAGTTCCGGAGTGCTGAGCTCACCTTTATGAACTGAGGCTCTTGCCTATAGGATTTAAGAATAATGCAACACTATTCATATGTGGATTTGGATATACAAACTTTTCTCAGCTGTTTGTGAACCCTTAGAAACAGCTTGTTTGTTTCCAGTGTGAGAAATGATGATGTAGGATGCCAGGTACAGAGTATTTATTCTGAATTTTGGAAGGATTTGCAACCCAAGCTGAATTTCCTGTGCACTGGTGCCACTGGACAGGCTAGGTGCAGTTGGAATACATGACCTGCAGTATAGATTAATTCAAATGTCCTAGTTCTGTGAGGATTTAAGTATTTCTCATTGTCCAAGGCAACTTGAAGGCATATGACCAGTTCACAGACAAGGACTGACCTTGAAAGACATTACAGATAAGTAGGTGAATGGGAAGAAAAGTGGGCTTGGTCAATATACGGGCATGAAAGTACTAGGAAAGATAAGCATAGTTTTAAAAGAATAGAAGTATAAAACTGTATTTTCTGTGGTTGAGTTTACTTTATAATTCCTGAATAAGAACCAAATTATCACTATTGCAATGTTAAAACTTCCAACCTATAAGAAATTAAAGTGTAAAATATGTATCATAAATGTTTCTACTTTCCCAGAAATTCCCAGTCCTGCACAAATTGCACAGCCTCCAGAAACATCTGCAGACACTAAGTAAGTACAGTTTTAAATACTTTTTTATTTGCATAATGTTTACCTGATAATCTTCACATTAGTCTGAAAGCGCTATGTTACTACTAAAACTGAATTTACAATCTGAGAACTCACGGGATTATTTTAGTCAGCAAGAGTAATACTGGTATTAGCCGCTTTATAAATCTGAATATGATATTTACTTTAAATGGGACACTAAGAAGTCCACGCCTTTAAATACCTAGTTATGCTTGTCTGTGCATTCTGGAGATCAGAAAGGTCCGATGAAACAGAAGTTACGGAGTCTTATGATTAAAAGAGCACGACACTTAGCTGTAAGCAAGCATCTTTTTAAGGATCTCAGTAATAGGGCATGCAAAATGTTGTAGCCTGCATTGCCAGTTCTCGCAATTGCTTCTCCACTGTAGGTGTTTCAGTAGTAGAAGAGGAGTATTCATTACTGGAACACAGCGTAATAAAGCAACTATGTTGCTTAATCATTGAAAATCACTTCAAAGTCTTTGTCCCTCATTTGCTAAAGTAAGCTTAGAAAGTCCTCCTCTTAAGTGGAGCAGTAATTGTATTTTTCTCTGACCTGCTGTAATGCTATCAAGATCTGTTCTCTATTTGCTTCTTTCCACTCCACTAATGGCATATGTAGCAGCTCACTTTTCTAACTCGGGTGGATGTGCAAACATTATTTTCACTGTAAACGTGTCTTCTCTTGTAGTGCTCATGAACAGCCAGACACAGATGGAGTTGAATGTGAAGCGGAGGTAGGTTTTCTGGTTTGCCCTTTTGTACAATCAGAAATGCCATGTTGAAACTGCAATAAAAAAGTTGCGGCCCTGGAATTATGGGTGTAGACTAGCTGTGCCTTACCTCAGTTCCACTGAACTGTTGGTACCGCAAAGATCTCAACTGAAAATTCATGGTTTCTGCAGCTAGGCTGAAACATTTAAGTACTTGTAATAATACTTTTTTTTTTTTTCCTAATTGGGCTAAGAGGATATTTTTCAGACTTCTGGCTCACTCAGTTTGGTGCGGCTGTTTTTGCATTACAAGAGCTGCAGGCCTACTGCTGGAGCTGCAAGGTTTAAATGCTCTGCAGACCTCAAATCTGCAAGTAATGCATGTGTAGGTGCTACCCGTGGTCACATAAGCCCACGCTTACAGGCTTTGCTTTGTGGGATCTACCAGGAGCTAATGTTTTGCATAGGAAAGCCTTCCCATACCTATTCACGAGACTGATTTTGGTAGTGCCTAAGCACATGTTCAGCTTGTAGTATGAACACTTGAAATGGCTTTCTGCTGGGATGAGTAAACCTCTCAAGATAGATAGAAACAATGATTTCAGCAGAAATTACTGGAATTTGGATTAAGCTTGCTGATTTTTGGAGCATTTCTTGCTAACAGCAGAATTTTAGTAATCACCAAAAACAAAAAACTCCAAATCCACCTACATTTCTTTAAAGAACAAAGAGGTTCTTGACCCTTTCTTTTAGAGTGGTCTTGTAGTACTTTTCCCCACACTGAAGGCCACATCCTGAGAGGTGCTGAGTCCCTAGATGCTAGTGCTGGTTCTACAAATTTAACTCTATATGGGATAAAGCCTTTCTTGTCTTCACCTGCATGCACTGACATACAGAAGATGCATGTCTTTTTGTAGCCTTCTGAGACGACTTTGTCCTGTGAGGTGTATTTCTAGAGCTGTAGTCAAATGTGTACATTCGCTCCCTTGACGTTCTCTCAAAGCAGCCTTTGCTGCTGGCTAGTAGACTGCTTGTGCCTCTCAGATGGGACTGTCAGCATATGTTTCCCTTCTTGTTTTGTAAACAGGTGGAAGAACCAGAGCCTAATAAATCAGAACCTGAAGATGATGAGGATGAGGTGGAAGATTTGCCAAACAGACGGCCACACTTGCAAGGGATGATTTATCGCAAACCTAGCCAGACCAGCGTCTACTTGCAAGAGTGGGACATTCCCTTTGAACAGATTGAACTGGGGGATCCTATTGGCCAAGGACGGTGGGGGAAGGTTTACAAGGGAAAGTGGCATGGGGAAGTGGCCATCAGGCTGCTGGAGATAGACGGGAACAATCAGGATCATCTCAAGCTCTTCAAAAAGGAGGTGATGAACTATAGACAGACCCGGCATGAGAACGTGGTACTTTTCATGGGAGCATGCATGAACCCTCCTCATTTAGCAATCATTACCAGGTGAGGATGTAGCATCTTAGTATTATTTTTATATCTATATTATATAGATAGATAATATTCAATTTTTTATATATTAAAAATAAATGTCTGCCACCTCCTGAATGCAGGGAGACATGAATGCAGTCTGTGTTGCTCACAGTTTTGGATACTAGGGTTGTCTCCTTTTAGGGAACACATAATATTTTTTGGCAATTTTCTTTTTATTTTTGAATTCTTAAATAATAAAATTCAAAAAGCAGGAGGAAGAAGAAATCTGGAACAGGCTGTTCCTCTGTTGTTTCCTTCCAGATGGTTCCAATTCAGCAAAGTGACAATAAACCAATGTGTGAGGCTGATAATGCAACAGTTACCTGTTCCTTTCTGTTCCTCTTAGGGACACTTGCTGATTAGGCAAAAGTGTTACTATTTTTCTCCTCTCTTCCATTTTCAGTATTTAGTTGCATTGAGGATCATTTAGCTTAAATAACAGCTTTTTGGGATGTTCATATGCAGGTTGAATTTAAGTAAGGCCACGGGCATGCCATTCTCATAGTCTGGCAAGGAAGTACTCAGTCATTTCTAATTGCTGGTTCCAAAAGAATTTTCCTGCTTAAGTGCCCAGTAGCACCAGCAGCAGAAGCTGGTGCTCAGATTTTGAAAACCACAGATGTCAGAGCAGCATAACAACTGGGTCTCTGAAGAAACACATAAGCATTTTTTGCATATCCTTGAGCATGCTTTAGCAATAGGTCTTCTGTACATGTGTACACCCACACAGATGTAAAGCAATTGGGTCCTTAAAGTTCTTCAAAATGGCATTTCTCAGCAGTGGAAGAGGGCTGGGATTCTGTCAACATGATAAGAAAACCAACTGAACGTTCAGTATTCTTATTTCCCTCCAGTATTTTAATGACCTTTCTAAGGATTGTTGTTCCTCTTTCCTGTAGCTTCTGCAAAGGAAGGACACTTCACTCGTTTGTAAGGGACCCCAAGATATCCCTGGATATTAACAAAACCAGGCAGATAGCACAGGAAATCATTAAGGTAAGGGTATGTCATGCTAACGGAGACATCTGCTTTTTGGGCATTGGCTCAGCAAGAATTTAGAGGCTGCACAGCTGGACAGGTTCTGTAAGTCTCAATAGCCCAAGAGAGTATTGCAGCAGGAGGTACTCAAAGCTGGCTGAAAAAAAGTGCTAATTTAGTGGGCAGTAAACTAAGGGCCTGTAAGGAGAGAAATAGAGCCTTTGCTTGTCAGTAAGGGGCTGGGAAGGGAGAATTTAGATAAAGGGAACAATGAAGAAACGTACACAGGACAGGTTTCCTTCCTGGTCTCTTCTCTTTATGAGTAGCTGCAGCTAAGTTAATTCATTCTGAAGTAGACGGCATTTTCTCCCAGATTTGCACAGTGTTTCCTGTGCTCTCTTTCAGTATTTCTCAACTGAAGAAGCATTTGTAAAGCTATTCTGTTCTTTTCTGGCAGAAATATCCTGTGAATTTAGTGAGCAAACTTGTGTCAGTTGTTCATTGTTTCTACACATGCAGACTTCTTCAGAACTGTAAAGTCCACAGCTGCTTAATGCTTCAACCAAGAGTACCCTTCCAGCAGCCCTACTATGCAGAGGATGAAAAGCAATTCGGAGGTTGAGCACTAAGCTAAGATCTGCTCCCTTGCAGACTTCCCTTGCACCCTTCCTGGATAAGTCAGACAACTGCCCTGTCCCCACTTACAATTAATCATTTATGCTGGAGTTATGAGAGTAAATGTGTATTAGAAAGCAAAAGATGCCCAGAGTTAGAGGCTTGTAAATAATTTAAAAAGTTTATGTCTCTGCGTATATTTCCTAGGGCATGGGGTATCTTCACGCAAAGGGGATTGTACATAAGGATCTGAAATCCAAGAACGTTTTCTATGACAATGGGAAAGTTGTGATCACTGATTTTGGATTATTTGGAATTTCGGGTGTGGTTCAGGAAGGAAGGTAAGTGGAGGTTTCAGTGTTTGGTCCACTTCTAGAATGATAACTTATTTATCATTTTTTTGATGTTATTTATCAAATAGGGAAACATTCTGATGCGTTCCACAGTACAAGTGAGGAGTGATGATTGCTTTAGTACATACACACATTTTTGGAATACACACTTTTTCTTTGGTTTGTTTTTTTTCTCTTTTTAGCAGAGTTCTTTCTACAGTTCCCGTAGCACAGAGCTAGGAAGTTATGTACAGACTGAGACTCAGAACACAGAACAAACAAAACTTTAAGTTCAAGAGTGAGCTGGAGAGTCAGGCTAAGACGTGGGCAAGAAAATTAGAAAGGAAATGTCAGTGAAAACATATGAGCAAATAAAGTCAAGGCATTAGGTGAAGCACAGATATGGTCCATATGCTGCTTCTTGTTTGAAGTAGTAGTGTTCCAGTACCACTTCCTTCTTTTGAACTCAGGCGGGAGAATGAATTGAAGCTGCCTCATGACTGGTTATGCTACCTGGCCCCTGAGATTGTTCGTGAGATGGCCCCTGGGAAAGATGAAGACAAGCTGCCTTTCTCCAAAGCTGCAGACATCTATGCTTTTGGGTAAGAGAAGAACACCTAAGAGTACCACAGGAGCTTGCTAAATAAGATTTGTTACAGACCTGAACCTTGCGAGTCAGTGGTCCCCTTCTCACAGACTCGGGATTCTAGCTAGGACGCGTTTTTCTCACCTACTACAAAAGTCATGGGTGGGAGGTGTGTGGGGTGGGAGCGATTTGCTGCACAGCCTTACACACCTTCCAGAGCTTATCAGAAGAAATTGGAATAGTGTCAGGGTTTTGTATCTTTCTCTTAAGAGCAGACAAAGGCTTGATTTGTCTGTTGCTGTTGCAGGACTGTGTGGTATGAGCTCCAAGCAAGAGAATGGCCTTTCAAGAACCAGCCTGCAGAGGCGCTCATCTGGCAGATTGGAAGTGGCGAAGGAGTGAAACAAGTCCTTGCAACTGTTAGTTTAGGGAAGGAAGTCAACGTAAGTACCTCAGCTGCAGGAATCCTTCCATACAGCTATTTCTCAGGAAAAGAGAGCGCTGCTTAAAGAGGAGATTTGTTTTACTCAGGTTATATAATACTTTTCTAAAGATAAGGGCAGGAGAGAGAACAGATCAGAATGGGACACCAGGTTAGATACTAAGCCTCTGCCCATAACTGTCATATAGGAGAGGACATCCACCAGTATGCAGGATACTGTTTGATTGTAAGAATGTGCCAGAACTCTATTAAACACTATCTCTGGCTGGGCTCGCACAAACCATAGTGCTCAATCAGTTGCTTGGTCTGCACAGTTGACCTGTGAACTAAGTGGAGATAATGAGCCACAAATATCCTTTGCAGGAAATTCTCTCAGCGTGCTGGTCATTTGATCTCAGTGAGAGACCTAGCTTCACTGTCCTCATGGATATGCTTGAAAAACTGCCAAAATTGAATCGTCGGCTCTCCCACCCAGGGCATTTCTGGAAGTCTGCTGAGTGAGTATTTGCTGCTGCTAAGAACACTTACGCCGCTCAGAATTTGCTAGCTGATCATTTCTGTGCTTTATTTTGCCTTCCTGGAGGCTGTCAGACCTCTAATGGGAGAGTAACAGTGTGCTGTTCTACTTCTCTAGTTAGTAGGAAATTATGCAATTAAGCTCGCATGCTTCGAACAGTTAATTTCCTACTTTAACATAATCACCTCCCTCCTTCAGTAGATTACTTATGCAGCTTTATGTTTGGTTTCAGAAACTGTCTACCAACAGTACTGGAAGGGGCCCACTCTGACCCCAAAGTGGTTAGAATTTCCCCTGTAGTGGCTTGTCAGGTCATGATACTTTTGAAGTCAGGTTCTGTGTTGCAATTGGGGAAGAAAAGTCTCATATGATCAAGCATCTGTAAACTGTCAAAACTGGAAGAGATCCCCCAAAACACCTGGTTGTACATCCCACGGCATCTGTTACAATGGACCAGACCAGAATGTAAAACTCATTCCAGTTCAGAGTGGATTAGCATAAAGCCAGAAGGCCTAAAACTTTCAGCCTCCCTTCTCATGAATAACCTGTCACTCTGAGAAGGACTGTTTCCACTTCCATTTCTACCAAGATCAAGTGGAAGCAAAGCAGGTACAATTTCTGGAGCCAAGAGAGAGAAACCCCCAGCCCAGACCAGTTTTATGTCAGTTGTCTAAGGTGCACTGCTGACCGCTGTTACCCTGAGTAGCTCCGATGGACCTCAGTTAACAGGCTGGGCCCGCAAGCCCCAGTGAAAGACAGCCAGGCGCGTTTCAGGAACAGCTCAGAGTTTCTGTTGGGCATAAGGGTACATGTTGGTGACCTCAGTGTTTTTTCTCAAAGTCTGGGGGAGATCAGACATGTTTCTGACCACTGCCAATTTACCACATACTTGCTCAGTGTTTATTTTCATCTACTGAACCTCTAATCTTTATTTTCTCTTTTTTTTTTTCTTCTTTTTTTGACATTTAACCTACCCCTTTCTTTCCTATAACCCTTCACTGTCTTCCTGCCATACTTTATCATAACTAAATGCTTCTGTTTGCTTGTGTGGTGACTGTCATGGCATTTTCGTGTGGCTTGTTTGGGGGGTTGGTGGAAAATTTCGCCATTTGTCTCTCGTGCAATGTCCCTAATATTTGTACTGCATCCCTGATACGTTACGATGTCTAACAACTTGAAAATGCGGAATGCTTCTCCAAGACTGGGCCTTGTCTTTATACAAAAGGATACTATTATCAGCAAAGATTGAATGCTTACCACCCACTCACTGATAAGTAGAACTGTCTGGTATTTTTTCCTTACACTAGACAGGTGTGTAGATACATATCACAGCCCTCATTTTAGAAAGGTACAACAAAGGGTTGAGAGAGCCTTGCATTTGGCAGTTGTTCTTTGCATCATCAGCTACTGCCTCTGTGCTGTGGCACATAGTTGGGAGGCAAGGTGTCTTCCTGCACCCTGACCACGCACTGCTCCAGCAGAGCTGTCACCGCTACACGTCGCTCCTTGTGGTTTCATTTCTCTACGTTTTTTAAAACAAAGATCTAAGGAGCAATCAACAAAATCTGAGCTAAAAAAATGAACCTGTGTGTAATTGCTGCTTATCTGTCCTTCAGTTATAATTTAAGAGCCACAAATTTTTTCCCTCTTCTGGCCTAAAGCATACCGAAGCCTATTTCCAGGCACAGCTTGCGTTGGCCAGATCTATACCCATTCCATTATCCATTCCTTCAAGTCATCCAGCTTCACTTATGACATTTCCTCCTATTTTTTTTGAAACTAATCCTCCCTTGCCTCAAAGGAAGATTGGTGTAGTTAAGTCGTGTTATGTTATGAAGGCAACAATTCTTTTGCCAGGAGATTTGCTTGATACAGCAGTGTCCTTTGGTAATATTTTTTCCTTCCTACAGAAACACACTGTACTCCAACACTCTGGTTCTGTGTGGCAACACTTTCATGCCCTCATTTCCCTATACAGTAAGATCCACTCGCATTGGGTCATTAACTCTGATGACTGATTTGGCAACTTTTCACCGACCCAACCAGACACCACAGAGCAGACTGAGCGCCCAGGCTGCCTACGCATTCCTGTGCAGACAATCACGCTCTTGTGTTGTCCTCTAACATCACACTGGAAATGAACTTGAAGTAATGCTTCCCACTTGGGCAGGCAGTTCGTGAGAATGCTCAATTCCAGAGCAATTTGCCAAGTGATTATTTTGGATTAGTGTTTCCATAGGGAGTTATTCTTGAACAGCTTGTGGAACTGTGGAGCGATGTCTTATGTAGTAGCTACCCTAATTATTTTCCCCTGGGTAGATGGACTGACACCCCCCTCCGCCCCCACAAGTGGTTCATGTCAATTTGCATACATTAATACTTTTTCTCTGCTCAAAGCATTTAATAGGGGAGAAGTACTTTAAGTGTCAGTATTAATTATCAGCAGTGACAGCTGAATTAGTGCTCATTGAAATGAAAGTGCAGGCAGCTCAGGTGGTGTTTATACCCTGCAAACCATTACAAGTCACACTGGGGAGGCTCTCTGTAGCCATGCTGGCCAGAGACCTACTCAGATTCACTGACGACATGTTCACATCCCCTCTGACAAATTCTTTCAGAAACACTGCACTAACCACATGCTTTATTCAGGTGTAAGCTTTGTAATATGTAGTTCTCAAGGGCTTGCTTTAAATAACTGAAAACTAACTCTCATGGTGTCTTTTTCCCTTCCCTCCCATATTTCTTTGTAGGTTGTAGCTACTGATGCAATAACGGGCTCCACCTTGCATGTTTCCGTGTGTTGTATCCTAACCGGCAACTTGGACAATCACCTTCCATTTAAAAAAGCAAAAACAAACCACGAAATTAACCCATGGACATAATCAACACTTTATCCGAACTCTCCTTTTCTGCCTTTTTCCGCTTGGTGTGGGCTGTTAGCTTGAATAACAACTCCTGTCTGCAAGAAGTTACTGTCTAACAACGTGGCCACCTTTCACTTCTGAAGCGTTTCAGCAGGCTGTAACTTCCTCCTGGAGGGGTCTCGTGAGCTGCTCTCTAACTAACCAGGTGCAAGCAACAGCGAGTGCTGTGTGTCCTGCCCAGCAGGCTGGGGTCTTCTGAAGCTGGTGTGACTGGTGCATGTCCTGCACGTCTCACGAGGCAGAGGGGTGCAGTTCCCTAGCTGCAGTCTGAGGTTATGCCTGTCATCCTTAGTGCTGGGCTGTGACTTTGTGACTGGAGGTAACGGGTGCATTTTCACAGGCACAGCCAGCGACTGAACCCTTCACTCGCACTGCAAACTAACAAGGGAGAAGGGCCAAGACTGTGCCGGGTCTCCCTTGGGACCAGAGCCAGCACTGAAGCCAGGGTCAATTTTGTCAGGGGCTGGATCAAGCTGGTGCAGTTCCCGAGTGGGAAGAAGGACAGTCCTCGCTCTGCTCGGAGCGGATCCAGTCCCTTAGCCTCCTGGGGACCAGGCCACAAGTGGTGTCCAGAACTGGCTCATGTGGGTCAGCTGGGACCAAGTGCAGTGGTGTGTAAAAGAGGAGGAAAGCAGGAGTGCCCTTCAGTTCCCTCTCCCCTTGCAAATCTAGTGCTTTGAATTTTATCATGTGCTTCTGTTTACATCCCCTGTTCAGCAAAATGTCAGACTTAACATTAGGAGCTTTGCAGAATTGTAGGTAACACAGCGAACATGTGCCTTTTTAGAAGAGGTCTTTTTCATTCTTTGCCCATTCATGATTTTGAAAAAATACCTTGTTTCGGAGGAAAGAGCATAGGGACAGCGGAGAACATGCACCAAGAACCAGGGAAGTTTCTACTGTCTTCAGTGAGGACAAATACACCCCCATACTCATTCTCTCAGAAGGTCTCCTGCAAGAGCTCACATATTCAGGCTCTCCGCCTTGCCGTCACCTGCGTGTGTGTGTGTGTGTGTGTGTGTATGTAAAGGAAAAAACATCTTTATGCACTTGCTACAGTCTATGAAGAGGAGCAAATGGGTTTGGGTTTGGTTTGGTTTTTTTAACCAGCTGAGGTACCTTTCCCTTAAAAAGAAAATTTCATCAGTCACTTTTTCTTTCCCTTCTACTTCAAGGAAACCACGTGCCCGCTGAGAACAAGAGTCGGGCTTCTACCCACCTTAGGTACTTAGGAAAGCCTCCCCTTTCTCCTATTTGAGGCAAATGAGCTTTGTGCTATAGGTTTCCACTGATGAGGTTAGCATGAATAAGTTCATGTGTTTGCTGCTTAATTACTTAAGCCTCTTTTATGGGTGATCTGAAGTTGTATGAGATCAGAATCTAACCCATTTTAGTTCCTTTTATAGGGCTGTAGCTTTGTAAGAAAAATAAAAAATAAATAACTCTTTTCCTCCTCCCTTCTCCTTTCCCTCCCCGCTCTTTTCAGCATTAACAGTAGCAAAGTTGTCCTGCGTTTTGAAAGATTTGGCTTGGGAATCCTGGAACCAAGTAATCAAAAGATATAGCATGGTGTGTAATGTCTGTGATACTGTTGTCTGCCTACTTACACAAAGCATCAGAAATCTTCACTGAATCTTCCAAGCTCTGAAACTGGTGCAGCCCCAGCTGAAAGCCGCACGACCATCGATTCACACTCCTGTCTTGTTTGCAAAATCTGAATTCTGCCTGAGCACCAGCGGTTATTTAAAGAATGTTTACATGATACTTTTGTGTGAACTATATTTTTTTAAACATAATAAATAGTGAATCAAGTTTAACTACAGCCATTCTCAAATAGCACTGAAAAAAAGAACTATTTCTAGTTCCTTCTTGTGTCTGTGGTAAATAGGAGCTATCTTCTGCCTTCAGAGCATTTGTTTTCCCTAAGAGAAGTGGAACTGGCTTGTTTCAGAATGGCAATGCATCTAGTACAAGGGGTTGGAGTTCCAGATTGCATTTTCCTTTCACTAAGGTAAAAATTGATCTACTGCATTGTGATTTGCCCAAAACAACTGTTGAGC